CGAAAATATTTTAAAAAAGAGCTGCCACCTCTTTAGAAATTCAAAACTAATTTTATCAACAAGTTAAAGGAAATATTTTGAATAGGGTATCAAACGACATAGGTTTTAGGAAAGCCGTATCTATTCCGAAAATATTTTAGAAGAGGGTTGCCAACAGTTTAGGAATTTAATTTAATTTAAGTTATTTGAAGTCCTACTAATACATGAAATAAATGTGAAAGTTTGCGAGCGAGTGTATGAATATGTTTGTTGGTCGTTCTTTGTATAAAATGGAGCATACAGATAGCGATGCCACCTGCTTAAAAACTTAAATTCTACTTTATATTATAAGTTCAACGATATTTCACAATATAACTCCTAACGAACGAGATTTCAGAAAAGTTTTTACAGGATTGCCACCTATTTAAAAAGCCAAATTATTTTTTAATTGATCGATTGAAGTATTAAAATGTGGTTGGCAAACATATGAGCTTTAAGGAAGCTTTATTTTGCAAATATTTTTAAAGAGTGTTGCCCCCAGTTCTAAGTTCATATTCCGTTTTTGATAATTTAAATAAAGTATTACAGTATGGACGTGAATCGAAAAAGGTATAAGATAGCTTTGTTTTGAAAATATTTTTAAAGAGGGTTGCCAACTGTTAAAGTGTTAAATAAAATGTAACTGAAATATTACAAAATGATGTCAAGTAAAAAACCGGACGTGAAGGCTTTATTCCGGAAATATTTTTTTAAGTAGTTGGCATCTGTTTAAGAGTCTAATTAAATTTAATAAGTTACTTAAATGAAATATTACTATATGGATGTCAAACGAAACAGGTTGAAAAAACTTTACTGTGACGAAAAAGTAACAGAAGGAGGCAGGGGATGGCGGGGGTGGTTGGTCGCGATTAAGATTAGGATAAAACTACTGTTCATTATTATGCAGAAAAACCCTCATATAAGATGCAAAGGCATTTTTTGTTAATGTCATCAGATCTGCACCGGTGCACATGAGGCAAAAGTGACGATTCAGCTGGACAAAAATCTAAAATTGCGATGATATTTAATATCTATAAAAATACGTATGAACGTTCCTAAATGTTTGACTAACTAAAGGACAGTATTAATTATGAAGCAAAGTTTCGCATTATGTTACTAGAGTACCTGCAACTTGCCGAATGCATATCGTGCACTCAGTCACCTCAATCAGTCCGACGCCGTAGTTCTGTATTAATTATAGTATGTGTGGATGTAACTTTTTTAAATTTAGTTTTATATTAAAGAAGGACTTTTTACAAGTTTCTTAAGTTTTTATTTTTTCATTTGTTTACGTATTACAGTTTTAAAAGTTATTTAAAATAATTCTATAAATTAACTAGAAAATAGTTATTCCGTAGATGATAAAAAAAATTACCCCTGAGTACCCTCAATTGATTTTTACAAAAAATAGTTTTTGAGTCTTTTGGAGAGCCCTCACAAAAATTTAGCTTTCGCTTTGCACCACTTTAGGAGTAATTATATTTTGTTTACAGCTATCAAATAATCTATTCGCATCAGCTGATTGACAAATAAAAAATATAACAAGTAATTTTTAGCAAAAAAAAACCGACTTAAAAAAAAATATATATGTATATGTATACATATTTCATGATGCAATGATCGGATCTAAACCAAATTAGTATGAGACACTACCTTTCTATTGCGAAAAGAATTATCGAAATCGGTTAACGTGGTCCAAAGTTATGCGGTAACATACATAAAAAAATAAAAAAATAAAAATAAAATATACCGACGAACTGATAACCTCCTCCTTTTTTTGGAAGTCGGTTGAAAATACAAAAGCGAAACGATGAATGTCCAAATTTTTAATTTGCTACGAAAAAATTCACCCGGAAATTTTGATTCCGCCCATAGTAAATACATGGAAACAAAGAGTGAAAAGTGAATCGGTTCGAGGAAAATGAAACTCATAACAAGGCCGAATATTTTTCTGTTACCATTATTTATTGCATGTAAAAATGTCGAAGGGGTCGGTAAATTTATATTTTTATTAACGCTGTTATTTTTGCTTAATAAGTTTTAAACCATCATCCAGGTGGTATGTCGTTGAAAACATATTTTTGGGTACGATATATCCTTCCCGTCAACCAGCGTTGCTTCATAGCCATAATAACTCATTTTCTACCTCACTAAATAAAACTTCACTGTTCATAGAATTAGATATTTTAGCAGGAGATACAATTTTTTTCCTTGGACGGGTAAAAATAAATTAGTAATCTACTGCGACTTAAAATGTTTATTTTAACCGCACTTAGGGCCAGTCTTTCAGTGCACAGCCGTGGTTTAAACTAAGTTTAAATGCTCGGTCTGGCTGGTTTAAGGTAAGATTAGCCAATCAAATGTCAGCCAACTTTAACTGGCACTGAAAAACTGGACCTAAATGTTGATGCTAATAGATAACTCATACGCCATGGTGTACGAATACTATAGGCAGGCAAGCAGGTAATCAAAGAGATTTGGGGTTGATGAGAACTTTTGTTATTTTATTTGACTGGACTATTACAAATGTCGTATTTTAATACTCATTTCATAAGAAATAAAGTTCTATCGGCTGATTCATGTAGACCTTGTTATTTTTACTTTAAATAAAACACTTAACACAAAGCTGGATGTCGGAATCTTTATTATTTTCCGAAAGAACACTCTCTGACATTTACTTTATAAAAATAATTGCATTTAAATATTGTACCACGCCAAATTCAAATTTCATTAAATCTTTATAGATTTTCTCCGGCAAACCGTAGTTCAATATGCATCGATTGAGGAGAAATAGAATTTTTTTAATCGATTCACGGAACGAATCGGAACTAAAAAATTGAATCGGAAGGGCTCGATTAATCGATTTAAAAACGGCATCTCTAGTTCACAGAGGCTATGAAAGCAGCCACGAGGGAGCTGCAATTACGCCTATTCAACGCCTGCTTCTATGCAAAGAAGCTTCACGCAGGTATTCTATGGAAGATACCAGGATTGGAAAAATACGGAGCTTTTGATTCCATAACCATAATGATCTGCTATGGCAGAAAGTTCCAACTGAAAATCCCAGATCGCGAAGATCGGGCAAACGGTCTCCCTATTCTTAAACCCAAATGCGTAGTTTGTTACACATATGGTTCAAGAGCCGTCACCATGGGGTGATGACCCAAGGTGTTCCAAGCTGAAATTTGAGATATTCCAACCTGCTCGAAATCAAACCTTGAAACGTGTTTAAAGGGCGCCTTTCCAGATATCTTTTCAGATAGCAGAGCAGCCATACGGGCACTTTGGCCACTGTCGGATGGAAGGGTGCGTAAACTCTGAACGCAGTAAGTACTGGGATGCGGTGGGGCGCCATATAGCAGCTCTATAGAATACTCTTTCAATAGATCGGATGTTATTCGACGAAGCCTACAACTAATTACGATTTCATTTGCAAGGAATAGGTGTTATCGTAGAATCGGAATTTTAGCTTTGCCTTGAGGACGTGGAAGCTACCGAGGACATTCTATGTGATTGTCCAGCCTTGGCTAGACAAAGACTCATTCATGTCAGAGCTCCAATTGTCAAATCCTTAGAAATAAGGAGTTCGACTATCAAGGCCTTTGTGGGATTCATTATGGAAGCCGGGGGTGCCTTAGGTATACTGGGTTAGGGGCACTCTTTAGTGATACAAAAGACCTTACCCTTGTATAGTTATATGTGGTAAGACGACACACATTTTTTGGGCACATGATTTTGGGGCAATCCGTAAACGTACCGGTAAAGTTGAGCATACGCCAACTGCATAGATTGGTTAACTCCACGAACTGGTTCTAAACCAGACAATTTCAGGAATATCGACGAAAAACAGTATGCAATAATTTCAGGGACATTTTCCTGGCACGGAATGAATCAAATGATATTTATGGATAAAATATATATAAAAAGAAAGCATAAAAATATGATTGCATATTTCAAGGCGACATATTTGTTTTTTAATTACCTGTGGACTTTTACGTTATTTGTATAAAGATTTTGTCTAAGAATACGACTAGTGAAATTTTCCAGCGAATAATTTTCTCCAGCGACTTCCGTAATGCGATTCTATTCAGACTTTTCAAAAAAAGGTGTTAAAACGACCCTTCAGAGAGAGAGCATATGGGTTAAAATGTTCAAAATAGTTTTTTCTCGTGAACTTTTACTATGTGTACTAGGGCGGGTCAATTTGTATGGGAGATTTTTTCGACTATGCGCGTACAGCCCATACGCATTCTACGTGTATTTCTAAGCACATTTTCCGAAGGAATCATGGGTCTAAAATCAATTTGAAGTTTGCCAAATTGCGAAAATATGTTTCTTGGCACTAATATTTTTCTTAAATCTTCCACCAGACAGCGCAATAGTGAAAATTTTCAAATTTTCTTCGAAACCTATTTTGGCAATTTGGCAAACTCTAAATTGATTAATTTCTATACTCAGAATAATACGTAGAATCCTTCTGTGCTATACGCGCATGGTAAAAAAAATTGGGCCGCCCTAATCTGTACAACAACCTTTTCGCATAAAAGTATGCCACGAAAAATAGTTTGCAAGCGCACAAAAATATACAAAAAGTGTAGTAATAGTCTTCAAGTCAGCCCCCAACTATACATATAATGAAAATACTCATTTCAGCAAAAGGGGGCCATATATTGCGCATTAAGGGCTGTTTTCTCAAGTAGATTTTACAATTTATCTGCCCCTTAAACACAAATTTTGTTCTCGAAAAATTTGTCTAAAGGGCGGCGAATAAATTTTTAAAGCTATTTGAGAAAACGAACCTAGACATTTTTTTGCCGAAAGTAATGTTATTCAAAAAGTCACTGACGCATCAAACTGCCCTCGCTTTTTTCTGTAAAACCTTAAAGTTCTTATTCAAGGAAATAGTGCACTTATTTGTACATGTACAATGTACATATAAATTTTTAAATATAAATTTTGTACATATAAATTTTCCAACATACCTGCTTAAGTATTTGTCAGCTACTGAATTTTGTCTCTATCCCCGCAGAGTGGAATTTTTCAATTAAAATCGCTTATTATGTCCTTAGTTATTACCCTTTTAGCGCACGTTTTGCTCGCAACACAGCGTTTTTTTGATTAAATGTAAATATGTATGTCGCCGCACAAAAACACTAAAACCACATGCAATGCAAACACCGCCAAAAAATGCAAACAACTGCTAAGTCAACTTAGTGAAAGTGTTGGAATATTTTAGATAGTTTTAGCCAGCAAGCAAGTGAGAGAAGCAAATGAAACTTTTTCAATTAATGTGACACGAACGCTGCCAATTGCACTTCACACCGCTCGCTAATTACTTTTTCGCCTGTTCAATTTATTTGTTTTTTTTTTTATCTGCAAGTTTTTGCACTTTTCATTTGGCGCCTAAATGTATGCTTGGAAGTAAGTTAACTCAATCGCACGTCAGAGAATCGAAAATATGTACTAATATATTAATAATTTCACACACTTTTTATAATAACTTTTTAAATTGTGCAAGTAATTACGCAAGTATCACGAGATAATTGATAGATAGATGCAAGCGTTATCAACGGTATCACTTTACTTAACAACTCAACTAGTTGATTATAATTGCTCTAAACACTTTTCGGACTTTGGCTTATGAGTTGCTTTCAGCGACACGTGCTAGAAACGAATAAGTGCCGACTTTGCGGCGTTTGTCTATTTATATTGTTGTCATATTTCGTTAACAGCGACAAATACGCGAATACGTGAAGTTCGCATACGAAGTTAACACTACACGATTTATGTACAAATGTTAACAGTCGGTGGGTGAAAGCTTTCTGTTACATTGGCGATACAATTTTTTTAAGGCATGCTATATTTTTTGAATGCAACCAAACTTTATTTAAGTGCATAAACGATTTTGGGAAATTTCAAAAATTTGGGAAATTTCAAAATGAACATCGCAGATCTCTGGCACTGGAGCTTCGAAAATACACCGTTTTAGTAAGGATGGGAGGAGTAGGCCAATCCTGACTGGGAACTTAACAATAAAAGTAAAAAAATAAAAATTTACCAGGAAAGGAATATGCATAGATGACACAAGTAACTAATAAAAAGTTTAAGCGATTTCATTTTAAAAATATTTTCCGAGTATTCCGAAGGCAGGAAGAGGCATCGTTAAAGCTGCGTTCCTCCACGAAGTCAACTTAGATATTTTATATGAGTAGCGACTGCTTTTGGTTATCAGTTCTGTGAAATCTTTCAAGACTAAAGTTCTGAACACATTGAAAACGACGAGCTACGGATCACAGCTTCCAATTTGTCATCTTCATTACCTAAACGCTTTGTCGATGGCGACATGATTTCTTTGAACGCGGCAGCGACATCATGAATTTGTATGTGTTTGACATAAAAGAAGAGGAAGAACCTTATCTGTCGCCAGAAAAATAGAAATATATCTAATCTGGCCACAACCACAGCCGTCGCGTAGCCCGGTCGTCGCCAAAATAATTATCTACATAAGAGTAAGTGTTAAAATAATTTGACAGCTGTGGTTTGTAGCTCGTCGTTTTCATTGTGTTCGGGCTATAACAGCCATATTACCACGTCAATGACAAAACTCGACGGCTGACTATTGTCTTTACTAATGTGTCTACTACTACGCCGTAAATTGATTTTAAGCGCTTAATGACAACTGTCATTGTTATTCTTATGATCCACTGAATGCGCGACAATGACGACACAATATTTTAGGCGCAGTAATTATGACAATAGTCATGATGATTTTTTTCGGCCATACCTACGGCTTGTCTTCCATCTACGCTTACTCATTCAAAATCACACTCTTCAAATTATCTTAATTCTTTTTTATGTCAAACATTTTTTACGAGTATCGTTTTCTTTCGCTATTTTATGCTATTAAATACTCCGACTACCGTCGTGACGACTGCATAACTTCACAGCTGCAGAGATTTGCACAGGTATCGTTGGATACCTCCGATAAACGCGAGCTACTTGGCCTCGGACTTCATTCTGGGACTTTTAACCCTTTCCACTGATAAATAAATCTTATGAAGAAGTTTAAAATGTTAATTTTTTTATTCACCTAATTTTTACCTAGTTTTTTAATCATAAAATTTTAGAGATAAAAATTTTTACCAAAACTAAACACGTTTGCTTAAAATAAAGAAAGAATAGTATAGAGAAGAAACGAGTGTTTGGAAAAAATATATATATCTTAAAGGAAAAAGTAAATTTTTAGAAAAAAATTGAAAAAGCTCTTATTTAGGAAAACACAAAAAAAAACTGAATCAGGCTACATTCTGGGACTGTTATCCCTTTCGGACCCAAGAGAAACTATTTTCCCAGCTAGTTTTTCCATTCATAAGGAAATTGTATGTAGTTTAAAATTTTAAATTTTTTCATTTGTCTAACTTTAACATAGTTTTTTATCATAAAATTTTATAAATATAAATTTTCACCAAAACTAGATAAATTTTCCAAAAATTAGGAAAAAAATTTTAGACAAAAAACGAGATTTTAGAAAAAAAGTTTTTAAAGAGTAAATTTTTTAGAAAAAAGATGGAAACGGAGGTTATTTTTAGGCAAAAAATTATTTATAGAAAAAATATAATTTTTAGAAAAACAAAATTTTTTTAGAAACAACGTAATACCGGTCATATTTTTGGAACTTTTAACACTCTCAGGCCCAAGGGCAAAATTTTTTAAAAAAGGTTTCAGTTTTGAAAAAGAAATCGGCCGAATCTAGAGGTACCTATTTACATTTTTCGTTGACACACACATTCGGCAAGAACACATTTTTTATTACCATTACTGGAATAATTACAATACTTCCTTGGAAAAAGTTTAATTATTTTTAATTTACTGATATTAGGGTGGTACGTTATGTTGACATAAACTGAGATCTGGTGGGTCAATGAACCTTGGGCAAAAAAAATAACTTCGACACAAAAACATTCAAATATCATACTTTAATATCCGATTGAAAATGCCGAAAATATGTCGAAAAATCCAAAAAACCCAAACCTACATACGCTCGGTCCAAAAAATACATGCATATATAAAAAATCGAAATTGCCTTAGAAAAAAATTTTTTTTCGTGTACATATCGATGGCTGAGTGGAAGATCGACCTATCTCGGCAGCCAGTTCGAAAACGCTCTATCTCAAAAAACTTTTCAAGAACGACCTATTTCAGAATTCGTTTCAAAAACGCCCTATCTCAGCTGCCGATTCAAAAACGCCCTATATCAGCATATTTTCAATACATTTTGAAGTGGGATAGGGCGTTTTTGACCGAATCTGAGGGGACTTTTTTCAAAAAGTTCTTTAAGAAACTATTTTTATTCATAAAAAACTCCATTTTTGGAGGTATTTTCAAATCGGTCCAGCTCACTTAAATCCTAATATTTTTCCGAAATACTTTGGTGAACGTCTTAGAATATAATAAATTTTGTAATCCTGGCGGACCGTAACTTTTTTGGTGATGCAATCTAATGTATATGTATATGTATATACGTAAATTCTTTCGTTATAGGCGTTATAAGAAAGTGATTGCAAATGGTTTAGAATTCTAGTCAAATTTCAAGCAGAAAAACTTTATTTTAATGTTACTCCCTTAGATAAAACTTTTTGACAGATTGCAAACCAAAATAAAATCGCATGCGACAAATTTTTTTTTTTTAATACTCGTACCTACACATACATATGTGTTTGTATAATGATTCGGCTTTATTTCTATTCGTTTTAACAGTCATACGTACGAGTTCGTACAGGTGGCAAAAGCTGCTAAATTCACCTCCTCAACAGCGTATTCACTATCAACCCTACACATAGCTTGGGTCATGGGTTTCAATAATGTTTGTATTGTTGTTTCGAAACTGCCACCTGTGTGCGCCCTCACAAAAAACTCTGTACCGCCGTATTTCACTACATACATACATACCTACATATATGTATATGTAGCTTGGGGCAGTTAGACATTTAAACGCCTACGCGAAAAGATTTGCGGTTGAGAGTAGTGCAAAAATTACACATAAGTGCATACATACATACATACATATTTACTAAAATGCTTTGTAAGGACACTAATATATGTATATGTACATAAGTATGCATTTAGTATGTACGTGTGTCTGTCGGCATTCAAAATTTTTTAACATTTTACCCATAAACTCTTTACTATAAAAGTTCCTTTACGTCTTTCATTTGCACCGTACGAAATTTGTCTTAATCTTGAAAAACATTTATTTATGTACTTTCTTTTGGTTCACTTTCACTACATTTTGTTAATGACGTCATTCGACTCGGCTGCCAGGAACTTGTTTCCCATTCGTCAGTGTGGTTGGTTTGTTGTTTGTATGAGTTGATTTGTTGTTGTTGTACATTTTTGGTTCTTGCTATTACTGTTGTACTCGCTTGAACACCTACGCACACGAGGCCGGCAAATGGGCACAAGTACACGCACAACCTTGCACTAACAACAATGTCATGTACATACATACATACATACATATGTACATACATAGTAGTATGTAGTAGCATTTGCCTTGCACGCATCTCACAGGAGGCGGCGCTTAAGTACACCTTTACTCCACCACCTGCAGCCCTGCTAGAGCAGTTCGTGAATGGCCCTCACGCGTTTGTTATTAAATTATGCAATAGTATATATTTAACACCAACCCCATTCCTAAATCACTGTTTAGTGTGTTTTGCATTGTTGGGATTTGTGCTTTTCCTTACGTTTTATTTTGTGTTGCATACTTTTAGGGGTGACTATTACTTCATTGTTTATGATGTTTCTTTTTTAGCACGCTTAAGAAGTTATGAATTAAAAATACTTAAGATGGTTATTTTAAAAGAAAACCGGTAAAAGGTTATTAAAAATCTATTTATATATTTTTGCATATTTATGCAGGACTGCGGTTAGAAAATAAGTACGTATTTTTAGTTATTACAGTATTTCTTACTTAATAAATGTTTTTTTTTTTTCAAATTCAGCAATCCTGCGATAATTGTTTCTTAAAAATTGCAAAACGCTACGCAGAGAACTGCTTCTTCCTCTCTTTTCGATTAGTTTTCTTCTTTTTATTTGGCGTTAATCAGTTGTTATTCCATTACCCGAGTAATCAAGAATTTGATTATTCAAAATGATGATTAATCGAGTTACTTAAAATATGATTACTCAAAAAAGTAAATTTGCTCGTTAAAATAGTTTGCTTGTTTATGTTCATCTTCTTTTTTACAATGTGTAAAGAAAAAAAATATTTTACTCATTTTACTTATAATGTTCATTATTCATAAAGCAAAGTTTTTGGTTTATCAAAATCTTGATTACTCGAGTATTGGAACGTTTGAGTAATCATAATTCCCAATTAATCGAATAATTGAGGTATTTACTTTATGCTTAATTAAAATTTTGAATAACCAATTAATCGCACAGCCCTAATTTGTTTATACAAGTAAGTTCATAAAAAAATAAATAAGATTTAGGATGATTTATGATCTTAAAACTCTATTTAACGTTTGGTTTTCATGTGAAGTGAAATTTTTGACATAAGTCAAAAATAACAGCCGTTTAGCTATGAAACCAAAAATGTGGCTCGATAGAATTCTTCATGCCCTATTATCTATTTTGTTCCTTGTTTACATAAA